ACCTTGAACGTGACATTGAAATGGACCTTGACCTCTGACCTCGACCCTCATCCTAAAACTGGTGATCATTCTGACATTGACTTTAGCTTGATGTGACCTTGAATGTAACCTTTTAAATGATCCAGATCCCAAACATTGTCCTTGCCATACCTCGCCCTAATTTTTTAATTTATTGTTTTTTTGGTGGCTGGCCAGTAAAGGGATCAAACCCTAGACTGATATTATCAGCAACATGCTCTAACCAAATGAGTTAACTAGCCATCCTTGTTCAGCCTAATTTTAACCGTGGCCTTGAACTGGTCTTGACCCTGATCTTTACCCTCACCTTATCACTGACAATCATCCTAAACATGATTCCTCTTAAAACAACCTTGGATTTGACCCTCCTCTTGACCCTAATCATCACCCTGACCTTGAAGTTAACATTGAATCCTACCATGACAATGAGCCTTACTCTCCCACCTGGGACTAAACAGTCTAAAATCACATCAGCCTGATGTCTTTGGTTGAGTTTGATTTAATATTATATCCCTAAATTACACACTATTTTCATCTAGATTTGATTTAACCACAGTAAGAAGTAATAGCTGAGGCTCAACTCTGCACTAATACAGTATCTTTCTCCATATTCCCACTTAGACTCACCATAAGCATGTGCTTTTGAGAGAAATGTCAATTTGCTCCAATAAGCACTACAAATTTACTTTTGATAAGAAAATCTGGGATTGAGTTTGTTTGCATTAATAAAGATTTTTTGAGTTCATTTGAATTTGCTTTAACAGCAGGAATGTGAATTGAGGTGAGTGTGAGTTGCTGTATTTATCTTCATCTCAGTTTGCTCTAACAAGCAGTAAGAAGTCACTTTTGAGAAGAATCTCTGGGAATGAATTTGTTGCACTAATACAAATTCATTTCAGTAGTACTCCTTAGTTTGATCCACACTCACTCTCAGTGTGAATATGTGTTGCTGTGCTTGCTTTCATTTGTTTGCTCCAATAAGGTATAAGGAGTTGATTTTGAGAAAAATGCCTGAGTTTGTTGTACTAGTAGGAATTCCCATCCAAACTCAGATTCATTCTAATACAGATGTGAATATGCCTTTGAGATCAGTGTACTGCACTGCGTACACTCATGTTGGTTAATGCTAACCAGCAATAAGGTTTCACTTTTTGAGATGGTTGTCTGAGAATGAGCTGCTTTGCACTAAAAATGATGCCTTCGGGCTGGCCCGGTGGCGCACTCGATAGAGTGCGGTGCTTGGGAGCACGGCGGCGCTCCCGCCGAGGGTTCGGATCCCCTATAGAGACCGGTCCGCTCACTGGTTGAACGCAGTGCAGGCGTGACACCGAGGGTTGCAATCCCGTTACCGGTCACGAAAAAAGACAAAAAGGA